TATCATTTCAAAATTAGGGATAACTAGTGCAGATAGTCGTCGAGTAGCTATGCGAGAAATTCAAAAACAAACAACCCTAGCTACTAGTACAAAACCCAGTATTTTTAGGTTACATAATCCTACACGAGATACTGTATGGTAACACATAGTTATAGATTCGATTTTTTATTCTACCATTATGCAAGTTAGAAACAGATGTAATAGTACCTTTAGTTTCCCCCTTTTTTATGCTGCGAACATCCATTCTGCTGTAACGTCCATACTACACCTCGACAACCAGTTGAGAGAAACGTTATAAAACCTTCTAGCATCTTCCTCTTTTTAAACTTAGTCTGTGCTGCACGAGAATTACCTCTCACTGGCCAAGCCATCAGCTCCATGCTGGAAGTATGTGGTTTACAGAAAAACACACACACACACTGTACAGTTTGACGATGTATTCGTTGTTCATATCATGCATATAGACACACACAAACACAATAAATGTTACAAGCATCCAATTCCCCGTTCATCTATAGAATTTTGTGCCTCTGGCAGATTTCGTCGTAAAATGCACACAGTTGATTCACTATCGATTCTATAAAACACATACTGTGATTTCTCGATATCTTAAAGTTACTTATTAAAAATTGCTTTCAATTTGCTGTTTCGTGTAGCAACTTTTAATATGACGTGTAGACTTTGATCAAACTGAAATTGAAATCCTATTAGGCTAGTTCCAGATAAGATATTTACGATAAGAATTGAAGAAAATGTCATTTCCATTTTATTTTTTGTGTTGTTGTATTTCTTAGGAGAAAGGGGCAGAGGAATTACACATATCGATTATTACTTTTCGTTTTTTCTGTAGTTTTCAAGAACTTTTCCTATTTAGACAATATTCTTCCTAACAGAAAATGAATAAAACTGTAAACTTTAATTCTTGGATATTCTTGTTGAAGGACAAGATGAAACTTTCAATATCTCTATTAATCATATAATCACCGGTTTATATATACATACATGTCCTGGAACTCCTTTCATTACCCTGCTCATAAAACCGGGTATCATAAAATAATTTTTTCACTCAATTAAAACAATTTGTATTACTAGGGAAAACTTTCAATCTGATCTTGAAACGTGAAATTCACAATTAATTATACAAAATAATTTCCCTGTAGAAACCAGAAAGGTAATCTGATCAGTTAGAGAAAACGGCAAAATAGAAATTAATCATGCCGGGTGTTGCCGAGAATTAGATTGCTGGTCTGTAAATCCATTGGTTTGTGGTTCGCGTCCCGTTGTCGCGACAATATGCATTCTTTGTTTTTTTACCTTGGTTTGTCGAACAATAAACTGACATCGTTGAGAAGGCAACTAAAAACCACTTCATCTATAATTACCGATGGCAGACACAATGGTTTTATGTCTGGCCTCTGTTTCTAGCGCGGTTGGGTTGTTTTTTTATTAGAAGAATTTCCTGTTTACTGCAACATACCTTATATCTCCAAAGTTTTATACCAAAATGGACAGTCTCTGGTGAGGAGACATCAATGTGATACCACCTTAGTTAGAAACTGTCGATTAAATAATCTGTCTTATGTCTTTGAAAGACACTTCTGCAAAGTGGATAGAATCTCGATATTCAGCGTGAAGTACTTCTTGAGAATCTCCACGAACTACGAGATGTGTAGTCTGTGTTTTGGAAGCTGTTTGAATTAAAGATTAACGTGTACTTATCACTTTTAAACACCTGAAAAATGCTCTGACGATCTTGAAACAATGCACTTCACTTAACGCCTTTCTGAACATGATAATCAGTTTGTTCATTTGCATATAAATAGAATTGTGTAGGATTTTAAAGTACGTCATACCTGAACCATACTCTGTACGAATGTGCGTGTGTGTGTGTACACGTAATACCTTATGTTAGAAACTACTGATGTGAGAGGGGACAGTTTACGGCAGTTAATTTACGAATGTTTACCCAGTTCTTTTAGTGGTCCCTATTGCATAAAAAGACTGAATTCAAAATGTTAAATTCTACAGCACTGCGTGCTACCAGGATAAATCACTTTATATACTACAATCTGGGTTTCTACAAATCTAGCCCGATTTGCTAAAGTTTCCGCACTTCAATGATTAATAATTTCTACAATTACGTAAAGTTCTGGCTAACCGAGTGCATATTTTTGGGTACTTTAATTGTAACTAAAGAAATAGGCACATATTTATGTAAAAAGTGACGTAATCACCTCAAACGTGCGCACGAATCTTGTATAGAAACCTCCTTATGTTCTCTTTTCCGCGATATATAAAGATAAAATGATAGGCCTTCTTCCCACATTTCAAAATTTCCAAAATGAGTGACTTGGTCTAATATAATAGGAATATACGGTTAATTTCCAAAAATATCAGAATATCTCATGACTTTATTTTTTTTTTACAAGTTATCGTAATTTATGTAACATATTAACAAATGTGTCATTATATGATGTCTAAAACACATCATAAAAAATATTTCATGAATGGGGTGAGACAGGTTCGAAAAAACAATACAGTTATGTGAAGTTATAACATCTTTTTAAATGCTAAAAATATCAAAAACTTGCGCTTCATTTTCGTGGAGTTTATACATCAAAAATCTTTACCAAATGTGAAAATACTAACAATTAAAGCACCATATTGAAAGCGTAAACGAGGGATGATTTTACGACTTTTCAAAAACCCATGATAAAATCATACCCTCCTCCTCCGCCTTTGGAATTTTGATACTCAATCTTGGCACGAAACCTTAAATTCAATTTATAATAATGGTGATTTGAAGAAACGTATTAGAATTCGCGAAATTGAAAAAAAATAAATAAATACTGAAATATTGTGTAGTATTTAATTAATATCAAATAAGCCACAATAATCGGTTAGAGCAGTAAATACAAAAACATTAACCATATTAATAAATGTGTTTTCTCGTTCACCTTCCAATATTGTTTGCATGCGATCAATACCTCAACTAGCTGCAAACTGTTGTAAAAAAACAAAGCACTGTAAACATCAGTAACTTCCTATATTCAAAGGGCATCTTTAAGCAGTAAGATTCTACATATATTTCAAGTAAAAATGATATGATTAAGAGCCTCATAGCACCTTACATGTAACGTTAATATATATATATATATTTTCCATTTAAGCACTGTATAATTAACTTCAGCAAGTAAAAATGAGATTAAGTAACCAGAAAGGTAATTTCGAAAACTTTCTATTTCCTTTCTTTGCACTGATAGTTAGAAAACCAAAGTTCCATAATCTAACTCTTTCTCAACTGTTGCATTACCTTAACGATACAATAAGGACACGAGTTTCCTCTCATATCTAATGTATTGCGATAAACATGTGAATTAATGCTGCCGTTGTTCATTTTCAGGTTAGAATAAGAACGATAATACTAAACTGATAACGGCATATAAAAACGTCCATTAACTTCTGTTTGGCCAGGCATGGCGAGGTAGTTAAGGCGCTTGACTCATACATAATCTGAGGTTCGCGGGTTCGTCCAATCAAACATGCTCGCCCTTTCTGCCGTAGGGTATTATAACGTGACAATCACTCCCACTATTCGTTGGTAAAAGAGTGGCCCAAGAGTTGGCAATTGGTGATGATTAGCTGCTTTCAGTCTAGTTTTTCACTGCTAAATTAGGGACGGCTAGCGCAGATAGCCCTCGTGTATGGAAACCCGAATTTTTGCTTGCAGACTTACCACTGAGCCACTGGATGCATGTTTGTGCAGAAACCGGAAAATTCTTAACTTTTTTTCTTCTAGTTCTTTCACTTATCTAATGTTATCGTCTTCAGCTAATAGGAAAAAAATAAGCATGTAATTCTACGGCACAGTTTTACTCACTGACTTGATCAAACTTCGCTGAAATATTTTGATATGCACTGCCCACACACTCGTATAATGACGCTGACAATCACGATACTTCGGAACCGTAGTTACAAGCTTTTATCGACCAAAAATTTAAAATTACAATTCATACTTCTGAAGAGGGGGCAACAGTTTCTAGAAAAAAAAAAAAAAAACGATGGCGGCTTACATACCAAGGTCAATAGCAATTTATATATAAGATTAAATACGATGTTGTATGTCTTGAGTGGCCCTTGAAACTTTTCTCAATCATGGCTCATGTTCACTTTGATGGTCATGATTATGCACTACTGCCTGACTCTACAATTTACATTATGAAACGTTAGATAAAAAAATGGGCAATGATCTCAATCTTAGACCACGCGTCTTAGCAAACATTTATAGACCCTCTTATGCTTAAGCATGCAAAAAGCACATAAATCCATTGATATTGTATTGAGAAAACTTGACAGGTATATGGCCAAATGGGATTGCTGTAATTCCAGTTTCTTCGGCCATCTTGCCAATGAAACCGTGGCCCAGAGATAAGCTTGCTGGGCTCTAGACTTGAGGTTCTGTGGCTCGAGTCCCGTTACCCACAAAAAAAACAAAAAAACTCGCGCTCCGAGTTATATGAATGACGTTCATATCCCACTATTCGGTTTGACAATGAGTACTGTAAGAGTTGTCGATGGGTTGTGTTAACTCTTTCGTCTGTCACTTCAAAATTAGAAATAACTAGTGCTGATAACTCTCGTGCAGCTTTGCACGAAATAATGTTGGAGTTGGTAACAAGCAAGCAAGCAAATTTTTCTAATGAAAACAACCGCTGATTTCGAGGTGTGGCTGGATGCTTGTGAGCCTTGTCAACGTAAACTCTTGTTCATTATGTTGTTTACTGTACAGTTTTTCTCTGGAAGTCTGTGGAACACAATTCCAGCCTAAAGCGGCGGTATTACACAGTTGAATGGTCGGGAATTCGCCATGAACCAAATATACATAATATATACAAACATATCGCCTATGGTGATACGCCACTGCATTATCATATACATATTGTTCCTGTATATAAAGTGCAATTAACCTTATGTGCATAATATACGTTTCTAAGGCTTACCTAACTGCTCGACCTGTGGAACATCCTCTTTAAATATTTCTTCTTTAGGTTTTGAAAGTGACGTCGGAAACTGTGTAGATAATGCAGCGTCAGGGTTTTCTGCACTCATGGTATATTGAAGTGGGCCGTCATAGCCTGTAATTGTAATAAGGGTTAATATGAAACAATTTCCCTTTGAGAAACACGTTACAATAGATGCGATAATGGTTACATGAAATAAGCTAAGGTAAAAATGTTGTTAACAATGAAGTACACACACGAGTGATAAGTTAATGCATTGTAATCACTATAGATTTTAGTTTTCTTGTATTGATTTACAACATTTTCAGTATTTATAGCTAATATGCTGTACAGAAATGGTTTCAATAATTCATATAGGTTACTTTTTAGTCAAATCTGTATAGTTAGCTTACTTTCTATCTGAAGTTCTTAGTTCTGAATTGTAATTTATTAATACAGGGAAGACTCCTTATAGCCTATAAAGGTAACATAAAAGTGGTTAGTATGTACTAACTATGATATCAACTATTTTGTACTAGAATAATCCACCATAACATACGAGAATGGCCAGGATATACTTAGTTTCTTTATAATGGTTCACAAGTTAGATAATGTTCTAATGAGGATAAAATTCATAAGGAGGATATATTATGTTTAATTTAATGTCAGTCAGTTTGTACTAGAGGTACAATTTACCTGGTGGTAAAAACATGGAGAAACTTGTTATAGCCTATGCAAAGTGGAAGGTTTATGATAGATTAAAGCTCAAACAGACAATTATATTCGAAAAAAAAAATATTCTAAAATAATGTCTTTATAATATAAGCAGTACAATTAATATGGATCAATTTTGCCCCAATTAAAATTGACTCAAATCACATTTGACTCCAAATATTTCATCTTCAAATTCCTCTTAATATGACAAATTCATACACAATACACATATGTGTTTGGGAACCATAAACTATGAAGGTGCCATGAAAATAATACAACTACAAGCCCTTGATGGCTGGATACAGTGTTCAGCAAAACAGCAACCATAGTACTGTGCTCTGTAAGTGAATGATGTTTGAATTCATGTAGATACTGATATCTTTTTAAGTATTAAGTATGAATAGATATCTTTATTAAACTTGCCAAAACAAATATCACTTTGTTTACAATTTCGAATTAAAGTCAAAAACATTTGATAAACATATATGTGTGTGTTGGTTGGGTATATGTCATCCAAAAGAGTTTGATGTGAGGAACTGTTCATAGCTATATTTGTTTAGTGAAACTCAGTATTGGGTTATTATTTACAAAATTCTTTAAAATATTATGTATAATAACTTTTGTATATTCTTTGTATAATAACTTGATTTTTGTTTTTTGTAAAGTGATACAAATGGGTCAGCATGTATTTTTTGATTTCATCACGTATTGGTCCTCTCCGACCTCTGCCAGATGCTGGTCGAGTGTCAGAAGCTTGAACCATCCCAAGAGCCTGTCTTTTCTGCTTTTGTTTCTGCTCCAAAAGTTGCTTCTGTAAAATAATAATAACAACGATGCTAATATTCACGGTATGGTATCCAGCAAACAGGCATGTTTTCATATGAAGCGGGTGATCAGACCTAAAACTCTGAATGTCTATTTCTAGGGAAGTCTACAGGGTGTCCGAAAAGTCTGGAACCAAAGGCACTTCAACGAATTTTACAGAACATGTTCCACTATTCGAAAAAAAGAATATTCGTGACATTGTCAATGGTCCGACACTCGTCGCGCATTTGTTGTTTCAAATGTTGTGTCCCTGATCTTCTCTTTGTACGCACGTGTCTTGAGCAGTCCACAGAAAAAGGAATCCATGGGGGCCAAGTCCTGAGATCTTGGCCCAAAATATTAATTTTTCAGAATAATAAAATAATTATATTTCGGAGAGAAAGACCGATCGCTTGGTACTTCTGAAGTTTTGTAAAAACAATAATTCAATAATGTCGGGGAGGCCATGCGGCTCGTCAGCCTGTACGGGTGCATTGGGGCAGCAGGATGTGTCCATTCGTTCCCCCCCCCCAAACACACACAATGTTAAACATCTTTCTTCTCCACTGCAAAATAAATACTTTAACAAACAGTATTAATTAAATTAACATTAAACAAATATTGTTTATTTGCTTCGGAAATTCGCATGAACTGCACAATAGCTATCTATTCACAAATGTCCCTAATTTTGAACTGATAAGACTAGATGGAAGGAAACTAGTCAATAGCACCCACTGCTAACTCTTGAGCTACTCTAATCAATAAGTATGGTTTAACTGTAACTCTTATAATTCAATCGTGGACCTAACGTACGAAGTGTGATTTTTCGGAAGGGGTTTGTTTGTTTGTTTCTAAGCGCAAAGCTACACAAGGGGCTATTTGTGTTGTGCCCAAAACGAATATCGAAACTCGATTTTTAGCGTCATAAGTACAGAGATTTGCCACTGAGCTACTAGGAGTGTTATTCAAACTGGGTGAAACGTAAAAAAAAAAAGAGAGAATAGAATGTAACTTACAAAAATATTTTACTGCCCTTAAATCGTTTTCTTGTTTCGCTATGTGTGCTCATTTGTCTCTGCACATGCTTCAACATTGGTCCTTTATTACTTACTAGTTGGAGTACCCGTCCCCTGTAAATTCATGATCACTGAAAGGTTGTCATAGGACATGAAAAGTTGCTTTCCTAAAACGTAATTGTAAAAAACAAAAACGCCCATAAAAACTGCAAATAGTGGTAAAAAACGTAAAAACATCCATAAAACCACAAAACGAAAGATGCAAAACTGAAAATAGGTATCTCCCCATGGACCGAACAAACCTTCATGCCAACAGGGGTAAAGTAGTGGTAAAGAACGCAAAAACGACCCATAAAAACCGCAAAATGCAAAACTGAAATTTGTATGTATCTCTCCATGCACTCAATGAACCTCCATACCAAATCTGGTGACATCCATCCACAGCGGGGAGAAGTAGTGGTAGAAAACGCAAAAACGCCCATAAAAATCACAAAACGCAAAACTGAAAATTTGTATGTACCCCCGCATGGACCTAATGAACCTCCATACCAATTTTGGTGAAGACCATCCACACCCTGCTAAGTAGTTACATGGACAGACAACAGACAGTATTATTACATTTACATAATTATGCAGTGAAGGATTTTGATGAGTTATAATGTATAAAAGGGTAAGGTCGTCGAACAGCATGTTTGTAAACATTATGCTTAGATAACTTTTTGAATAAAAGATTCATAATTTTGTATTGTGAAAAGAATTTGGTGATCTTTAAACAAAACTGAAAAGTTCAAATGCACTAACAGCCATGGTCTGAATAATCTATTACTTTTTTTTACAGTTTGTTTTGAATTTCACGCAAAGCTACACGAGGGCTGTCTGCGCTAGCCGTCCCTAATTTAGCAGTGTAAGACTAGAGGGAAGGCAGCTAGTCATCACCACCCACTGCCAACTCTTGGGCTACTCTTTTACCAACGAATAGTGGGATTGACCGTTACATTATAACGCCACCACAGCTGAAAGGGCGAGCATGTTTGGTGGGATGGGGATTCGAACCCGCGACACTCAGATTGCGAGTCGAGTGCCTTAACCACCTGGCCATGTTTTTGCAGTTTTATTTTGTCAAATGTTTTCCAAGGTCTGAAAAACAGAGCGAGGTCAAAATTAAACTAAAATTAAATTAAATTGAAACTCTTAATATTTATGCAAAGCAAAAGGGAAAACCTAAATTAGCAATAGCTATAGACTTCAATATAAGTAATTTATTAGATTCTGCACTTTTCCAAAAAATAAGTTCGACCTTTTCAGTCTCTTTTTTTTTTTTACTATTTGTAACCAAAATATATCTTGCGATAAGGGTACTTCCATATTCCAGAGTAAGGGCAGTGTCTTTAGTCTAATTCTCTATAAGGACACTCGAGAAACCTGGCAATTACCTTTGTATGCCTGTACTGTGTACCGCTAAATTCAAATTATCCCAGAAGGATGACCAATGTTCAAACACTTGCGATGTTTATTGGATCGGCTCCGAATCATACACTGTAATAAACGTTTTCACAAATTCAAAGTGCAATCTTATTACTCTGGGGAATTCTCATTGTAAACACTGTAGGATGCATAAGCTGATAAATTCCACATCCGAGTAGGGGTGAAGTCGGCTTATTTCTGTGCACATGCTTTGTTGCTCTCGAGAGTATCGTATTACGGTGTCACGTAAACAGTTTAATGACACAAGCAGTGATTAGTTGCTATGTTTTCAGGGGATTTCTACTTCAGTTGTTGACAGTAAAATAAACACAGAAACTAAATGTGAAATGTTTAGCAGTTCAAACTGAAGGGAAGTACTTCGAAACTTTGTGACTAAGAATAATAATGATAAAACGGCACATCTAATCCCCCCCCCCCCGATACCTCCTGTTAACAATGCTCCATGTCATGGCAACATGCAACTCAAGAACACCCGTGTCCTGCATACACCAAACAAAATGGGGACCTTAAAATTCAGAAATTTAGTAAGGTCAATATGGAAACCAGCCTTGCGTGGCTCATTTTTTATATTAAGGGTATCTTGCTATAGAGAGCATTTGTTTTGTTTGTTTGTTATGGATTTCGCCCAAAGCTACACAAGGGCTATCTGTGCTAGCCGTCCCTAATTTAGCAGTGTGAGACTAGAGGGAAGGTAGCTGGTCATCACCACCCACTGCCAACTCTTGGGCTACTCTTTTACCAACGAATAGTGGGATTAACCGTTACGGTATAACGCCCCCACGGCTGAAAGGGCGAGCATGTTTGGTGGGACGGGGATTCGAAGCCGCGACCCGCAGATTGCGAGTCGAGCGCCCTAACCACCTGGCCATACCGGGCCTAAAGGGCATTTGGACGCTGTCGGAAGGGTTCTACTGTCAAGGTTCTACTGTAATTGTAGAAAAGAAATTAACTAGCAGGTTTATTACATTTCTACTCGTTTATAGCTCAATCTGAAACTCAGGCTTCTTGATAATTATCTTGATAATTTGAATAACATATATTGTTAATAAATATATTCAATTATGTTGGCATAAAAGATATTTTTTCTGCAGCTGAACATTAGTTTGTATATAAAACAATTATTTTCGAATGATCCTAATATTACAAGTGACTCCATGTAGTTCCCATTTATTTATATATGTGTGTATATATATATATTCATACGACATAACATTGATCACATAATACGTGAAACTTAAAAATGAGTGAATTATAAACATAAGTTTTATAACAGTAGTATAAAGCTAGAACGTAAGATTTGAACATTGTCTTAGCACAAATGATTGCTGTAACTTTGTTTGCAAACTGATGCAGTATTTAATCACGTCTACCAAATCTAATTAATATGTGGGATTTCTGGATTATTTTTTCTTACTTTTAAATCTTATTGTTTTCAATGTATCTTCCACCCCAACATCTGTAATATAATTTAATACTAGATTCTGCAATCTACAAGAACAAGTGCGTTATATACTGAGCATAATACAGAATATTTTTTCTTCAACAGCTAAGTGCTTAGAGCATTATGAAAAATTATTATAATAGATGTGTGGCGGCTGTTGTACACCCCTTGCTTATCAACTCTTTTAACATGTAAATATTATGCTCTGAAATATACTGCTAGAAATACAATGAACCTTCTGATGTATACATGGCCACTCTACCATTCCAAAAGAGAAAAGAATGACGGAAACTGGAATGTCTCATAGTTCGACTAAATTTACACAAGTTTTTGCATCGCTACTAAAAAAAAAAAGAAAGAAAGAAAAGAAAAAAACACGAAAATAGACATATTATATAACTTGAAAGTTTCTATAGCGTAAGTGGATAAGTTTAAAAGGAGTTTAAATATCAGCTGCTAACAATATCGCAAGTTCGGTGAGTTATAAGAGCTGTTTTCTATATTTTTGTTAACTGTAATAATTTATTTTTGAAAACTGTGCGAATGGTGAGACATCAAGTAAATTGTACCAGTTTAAATTCGAGATATCAGCACTATTTTAAAAAGACATGCCAAAATTGAGATACACGAAAACAGTTGTTGAAAATAGATCATGTTATTTCTGTATTGGGCAAAACACATTAAGAAATGTCGTTGCCATTTCTGTACAGAAAAATATGTCATTGAAACTTTAAACAAGTAGTACAGATTTCTACGATAATTATAAAAAATAAAAAAAAGAGGAAAACATGATGGTGTAGATTTTATTTATACATAACCTTCAAATAAGTAAGCAGAAAATCCCTTGGTCTTCCAGTGAGTCAGCTGTAAGTAAAGGACGTACAAGGCTAAAATCCAGGGTTAAATTCCCCGCGGTGATCAGTGTTTTGCGGAAGAACAAAGATGCTTGAAGAATACATTTCGACTCTCTCCATGTTGTCATGTGCAAATAGCCCCGACGCGTAAGTAACAATATAGCTCGATAAAGACCACAGGATGCAAACATTCATGCCATAAATGAAAGCA